TAATAATGTACTACAGTACTATGTACAGTAACCTTTGGGCCTCCCACTACCAAAACTTTGATTTGAGAGTTCAACTTTGCTTACCTAGCTGGTATTCACTTTAATATGCTCTGCATCGGTAGGTTCTTATGCTTGTGCACGATAATGTTTAGTCATCTACTAGGACTGGCCTGGAAGCATGAACCTTTCTCTCGCTGCATAGGCAAGCCACAGAGAGAATCAGGAAGGAGTAGTGACATAGTTGGTGTTGTCTGCTGGGCCTATTCATGCATGCTAAAAGGTAGCTTTTCATAGCCAAAACCTCTCACCACTATTCCCGCACTCTACACTGTATATTTGTGTTAAATTAAGGAAACCCATATATTAGGAGATCATATATTTGGAACCCTAGTAGTTAAATTTTAAATTTACAGCGATGTACTACTATGAAGTTATATAAACGGTTCAGTTATCCTAGGAATCAGGAAAACAAAAGGTCCATTCACCATTTTTCAAATTCAAGCAGAACACGCGCTTTTTTTTTCCACATCGCGCACGCTCAAATCATCTTGTCGCCTAGTGCGAACCAACCCCTCCGGCGCGGTGATCCGACGGTCCAGAAGTGGACGCCCTCCGTGATCGGCTGAAAGGAACGGCGGAGGATGGCACCATGGTTTCACCACAAACGAAAAGGGTAAGGCGAGGCGGGCGTGGGCCTGCAAGAATCCCCTCCCCCGCCTCTCGGCGAATGGGGAGGCGGCACCCACGTGAGCGGCTCGCCCCCACACCCCTGACATGCGCCCGATCGCGCCCTGTCCCTCTCCTCCCGCGCCGCTATTTCTACCTCCCCGCCGGCGCTGCTCGTCGCGCTCTCCATCGGTCGCTCGCTCGTCCGCTCTCCATCCATCCATCCGTCCCCGTCCCCGTCCCCGCGATAGCCGAGCTAGCTCGATCTCCAGCAGAGTCTAGAAGCACACGTCCGCCGGCGGCTTCCGCCGTCAGAGAAGCTAGCTAGCGCGCTTCGATCTCCGATCCGTATATAGACGACAGCGGGGCCCGGCCGGCCGGCCGGTTTCTCTCGGCGGCGGCCATGAACGACGACGCCTCCTCGTCTCCGGCTTCGTACATCAGATTGGTAAGTGCGTGCGCGCGCGGACGATCTGTGCCGCCGTGCATTGAGATACGACGATTCGATGATGGTGGCTTTTGTGTTGGCGTGCATGCATGATGATGCAAGGTTGTTGTTTTGTGCGATCTAATTGCGCACATGTTTGATCGATATCCAGGTGCAGCATCTGATCGAGAAGTGCATCTGCTACAAATTGAACAAGGAGGAGTGCATGGAGACGTTGGAGAAGCACGCCAAAATCATGCCCGTCATCACATCCACCGGTATGCTTCTAGAGTTCTAGCGCTGCGTGTTCTTCTTCTTCTCCTCACTTCTAATTCTACTCTTGTGTTTCCATTGCATTTTCTTGCAAGCGACTAATCAAGATTCAAGAGTAGTGTTAGTTTTAACAAAACTACTAGATAGCTATTCCTATCATTGATTTTTTTCTTGGCATTATTATATATTGCTAGTGTGGAAGGAGCTGGAGAAGGAGAACAGGGAGTTCTTCGAGACGTACAAGAAGGATCGGGGAGGAGGAGGCCCGAACCCGAACCAGGAAGCCGCTACTACTGGTCACCATCCTTCGCGCGTCCAACAGAGCTGCTGCTCACAAGCGTCGACGACGACGCTGCAGAAGAATCCATCTGGTGAACAGGAACAGCGCGTCGTGGAGAATAAGGAGAACAGGAAAAATCCATCTCATGAACAGGAGCAGCGCGTCGTGGAGAAGGAGAAGAGGAAGAATCCTTCTGCTTCCAAGAGCTCAGGCGACGACGACAACCAGAACTCTCGCTCGGTTAATTAGTTGCTCCTGCGGCTACGATCGATGCATGCATGGCCTGGTACATATCTCGAGACAGCTCTATATATCAGCATCGCCAGTGTGATTATGTGTGTAATATAAGTACGTAGGGGCCTGCATGGTCATGTGTATTATTATGAGTAGATAAATTTCTGTAGATTAAACCTAGTAGCACTCAAGACGTCGAAGATTCTGTATCTACAGGCACTGCCGTACCGCAGGTGTATCAAGCAGGGTAGGCCGGGGTTGCGTTGCATGCATGTGGGGGCCCTGCACACGTGGCGGGCGAATATTCACCCAGCTATGCTTGTTTGAAGGACACTGCTGCTGGTTACTGTCAGAAGAAAGAGGCCGTTCTTGTCCCGGTGGTCGATCTCGCCTCGCCGTACGTGCTCTGGCGATCGATCCAACAGACAGGACGGCCGGGCGCCAAAGCACGCGAGATTTCTCCCCCACGCCCTCCTTTTGACGCCGGGCGCGTCTGAGTAGGACGTCTACGGCGGCCGCGCGTCGTGGAGACGGATGGCAAAAATTCCCAGGCGTGCGCGTGCCGTCTTGTTTGGTCGGTAGTAGCAGGCCAGCAGCTAGCGCTGCCTGCCTCCCATCAGCAGCGACTAGCGAGCGCACGCAGTACACAACCGGTCCAAGGGGTGTTGACACCTAGGCATACAGACATGCCTGTGACCGCTACTGGGTATACATGTCGCTCGATGCATCGTATGTGCGTCCACACGGATTGTGTCTGGCTTCGGGAGTTCGGCGGCCGATCGATCTCTCCAGCTGGCGACGGCGACAGGAGGATGGTGCTCGACGAGTGCGCGCGTTGAGCATTTAGGCAACGTGTTGTGCGTATACATGTGGATTGGAGCTTTGTTTCGATCGTACAGGGGCCATCTGCTGCTATCAGCTTGGATGGGCAACTAGGCGAGAAGAGAAGCGACGACGGATGCGGGAGCTGGTAGCGCTGACGTGCTCGCATCGTTGGCTGCTGCTGGCCACCGGCCGTGCTGTGGCTGTGGTCTACTGCTCTTCCGTCCGTCGTTGGTCGTGCTTACCCCAGCTGTACGCTGTACGCATACGTCGTTCTCAGCTACCGCCTACCGGGCAACCGAGCCTTGTTTCAGGCACACGCAAGCGAGCTACTCCAATCGAGCCAGCCAGCTAGCTACTGACAGTCTGACACGGGGTTTTCATGCTTCTCATGCTAGCTAAGAGACAGAGTAGATCGCTTTTTCGTAATGGAATAGCCGAACAGGACATGAGCAACTGCCCTGTATTTCCAACAGCAGCCAGGGACGCTAGCTACGACTCACGCATGTGTACAAACCGAAACCGTTCTACTCGTGTAGTGGGTCACCAACTCCGGTGGAATGGGTCGGTGGGTTGGCCGGATTTGCATCTTGTCTTAGGCACGCGCATCAACTGTTCAACCCGGTCCTGATGAAAGAAAAACAAAAAAAATGTTCACTGCATCTGCACTCTGCAAAGTATAGAGTATCACCCGGCGCACTTTAGCCCAGGCGGGCAGTAGACCTTGCAGCACAAATGGGTGGACCGGACCTATACCTTCCCGTACAAACATTCCAAGTCAGATGTCGGCCCAGCCTGCCAAGGTTGGAAGACTTGGGCCACGGTCCAGCACAAGGCCACTAGTAGCTATGAAAAGTTGAAAACTGAACAGGATTGTGGTGATCGCCACGGGCTGCTAAGAGGTGACACAAAAGTTGGAGGAACGAAAAAAAGGTGCAGCTATTGTGCTACTCCCTCCTAATCCCAAATGTAACTCAGTTATACATGCTTCACTGGAGCTGAAATTTTTACCATACCTCAAGCATACAATGTGTAGTCTATCATAAAAATTTCACCAAAATTAGAGTATAGGAGCTGCAGTTATGAATTAAACACAAAAACACATAGATCTACAGTTATAGCAAAAACTTTAAACTAAAACATGCCATATTATATATCATTGCATAGATCTACTCATGTGGAGGCTAACAAAAGTGGAATTTTCTTTTTACATTTTTTCTATGATTTTATACTATTGTCCAAAGTTTCAGTTAATTTATGAAAAAAAAAAGAGCATGAGGCATCACATCAGCGGACATGCAGGCAGCTTTGTCCTATATGGCTGGCTTCGGATGGCAGCAAGGACATAGACAAAGTTTATAGACCCATATGAGTGAAAAAAATAGTTCATAAACCTAGGTGAAGAGTAGAAGAAAAGTTTATGGACCCACGGCATAATTCACTCTAATATTTATAATAAATAATAAGTTTTATCAGATTGATCGTGAAATATACTTATTCGAAGATATGAATACCGATACAATTTTCTGTATATCTAGTCAAAAAATGACTCCTCAAGAAGCAAGGTGTATCGAGATGCGTTGTGTTAAAAAAAGGCGAAATGTGCAGTTATTTTGGGAGAGATGTGTTGTGTTAAAAAAAAGGCGAAATGTGCCGTTATTTCGGGGGAGAGAGAGCACATTATCTGACAGAAATACGGAGCTCGGTCATCGGTCTTCAGGCAAAAAGATAACAAAACAATCCCACCTGAAGACCAATATAAAATAGGTCCTCATCACCATCACTGGAGGAATCAGATTCTGTAGTTCATGATGCCGTACGTAATCTACAAGGACACCATCGCAGAGAGCACTACTTTACGCTCAGTCCCATCGCATGTACCCAACTGGTTTGCTGCGACGGCTGACGAGACGAGCATCAGGTCTCAGAAGAAGCTTTCTGCGGCTACACATAAATAGTTCCAGCTACGAACCCGTGTCCTTAGGCTATCTCCAACGGTGCAGCCCAAAACAAATACCCATACCGTAGTTTAGGTTATGCACAGTACAAAGATAGCGTACCCAAAACTTCCGTTCTCCAACAGCCAACCCAAATTTGCGGACCTCGGCGCGGCCCCGACGAAGCTCGCCCCGGCTCCGACGAGCATCGTGGAGGACTCAAAGGAAGAAGAGAGGAAGAAGCGTGTATCGTCAGACGCAAAATACCTGCTGCGTTTACTACATAAAAAGTACCAGCGATGTAAAACGAATGGGTCCCGTGTCAGTCTTACACCTGCTGCATCAGCTCGGTACTTGCATGCTATTTCTCGTGGGACAAGGCGTGCTCGGGCCGGTGGGTGAACTCGTAGTCGAGGTGGACGAACGCGCGCTCGATCTCTGGCAGGCGCTCCAGCTTCTCCTGCAGGGCCTCACCGATGTCGTGAGCCTCCCGCAGCGGCATGTTCGATGGCAGCACGATGTCCACCTCAACGAAGTAGTGGGAACCAAACGTGTAGGCGCGCACTGTGTCGATGTGCCGCACGGCCTTGTGGTGGTTCCAGCACAGGTAAGTCAGCTTCTGGAGGTACTCTGGTGAGGCCGACTGCCCCACCAGGGAGTGCACGTTCTCCAGCACCGTCATAGACCATGTTCTGATCGTGTAGATTGCCAGCTGCAGGGGAGGACGACAGTTAATTCTGAAGACAATCATGGTGAAAGAGTGTTTCTTGCAAGTTGCAAATGCAAAGTATTACCACAGAACAATGAGTCATAGTAGTATGATGGTAGAACAAATGATGCTAACTACTCTTGTCCAAACTAATAAAACACATAGGATAAGGAATATACTAAGATGCTACTTATACTAGATATATGGGATAAATGTGAGATCGAACTTCTCATGTACTTACAATGATTGCACCAAGTGGGTCGATCCAGCCCTCAATATAATTGGCAAGTAGTGCAGCAACCAAGCCAATTACATTTGTGATGACATCGAAAAAGTGATCCTGTGCGTATGCTTTGACAATTTCGTTGGTGAATGAGCGGCAATATATAACCAGGGCAAGTTTTACCAATGTCACAGAAAGCATGATGTCCACAAGCCACTTTTCTTGATCACTTGTTAAGCTGAATTCATCTCCCTGGAGAATGAAATATGACCATATGAGATAATCAACAAGGGCAAACAATAATATGATCTACAGTTAGACACTTACTGATACCAAGGAAAATTACTAACCGTCCATGACAACATGACAATTTTTTCAATTTTTAAGCAAATACCAAGGAAAATTACTAACCGTCCATAACATTTGACAAGTAATTTTTTCAATTTTAAGCATAATATAGCCTTGATGGTTGTTACTACAAAACAAGAGTTCCATGACAACATGACAATCATATCCCAAAAAATATCTACTTTTGACTATGCATCAAAGAGCAAGGACATAAATATTTGTTTACTGCAAGTAATTTGATTATCTGAAGGCCAAGGGTTGCCATAACAGAAGATAAAAACAAAGCCATGAACAAAAATTTTACACAGTATACTGATAGCCTTGATGGTTGTTACTCACTAAAAACAAGAGTTGGACAAGAAACATTGAATTGGTATAGAAGAAAATCTAAACTCCCAATAGAAAATCTATCTACCTAATAAAAAAGCAACCTGAGAATTAAAAAAATTGTAATGCATCAAAGAGCAATGGAAATTAAATCTATTTGAGAGAGAGATTTACATCAGACGCCAATGATATTTATTGATTCTAGAATTATCTGAAGGCCAAGGGGTTGCCATAACAGAAAGCAAAAAACAAGTATTCCCTGAACAAAATATTTTAGTATACAATTTTAGTATAGTGGAAAAGGAACTACAAATACATGATTGCTTATATCACAGAAAAAACTAATATGATTGACAATTATGTAAAATAGATTGGAGCCTCCAAACAAAGCTTTATTTTAGCATTACAGTAATACCATAGTCACTAGTTCACCAATCCCCCGGCGCCACCACCTAGAGTTGCTATAGAAAGAACATGATCTGCCAAGCAAGACTAACTACGATCATCTACTTGGCGGAATGCCTCCCTCCGCTCCAAATTGTAAGTTGTAGTCTTGCTTTCGTCGGAGGGCACCATCGAGATACATAGTCTTTTATTATGTATCTAGACATGATTTTGTGGAATATCTAGGTGTGTAGGAAAATCTATGTACCTAATAAAAAAGCCAGAGATATTACATTTACTATAGCGCACAACATTTTCCTTCAATTGTTTTATGATGGATATTTTCTAGGGGTTAATAGGCATTTATTTATTTATAGTGCTTCCCCACAGGAGCCGCGTTTGCCTCTCTTCTTTCTGAACTAATTATCATTTGTCTTTTCCACCCCTATATATTGCAACCTGGTAGGGCATCAAGTCCTAACACGCTTTTTTACGAGAGATTATTTGGACCGAGAGATTTTGGAGGACGGGCAGTTATGGTGTTTAGCAGGTGCAAGGATTTGGCACAGCTTGATGTAGCTCCCAACCGGTTGCCCATAGTTTGTTAGAGGTCAGTTTACAGTCAGTGGCACGCATGTAACATTTTCATGCTTTGTGGGCATGTGGCGTGTGGAGTGCGTTGTATCTTTTGATCCATTCTTGATGCAATGATACGCAGCCCTTGAGAGTATTCAATTTTTAATTACCAATAGCACCCGAGAAGCAATTGAAATATGTTAACGTGTACTGACAATTGAGATAGTTCAATGGAACTGTGTTCTCAAAAGTTCAGTGGAACCAAATGCATGAGCTATGGTAAAGAACAAATGATCCAAAGAAATTTGGAAGTACAGGTCATGACAAAAACAAAACTCACCAGCGGCTGCATACGCTTTTTTCCAATTGGGTATCTGTAGGGATTTGGTGTTTGCATTGAAAAGGCAGTAAACCACAAGATAAATCCTGACAACAAGTCTAGAAGAGAATCCAAAGTTGATGCGATAATAGCAAGTGAGCCACTCCTTACTGAAGCATACACTTTTGCAGCAAAGAGAACCATATTTGCAATGTTAGACAGCCGTATGGCTAATGTTTCACTCCTGGCAACTTTTTCTCGTTCTTCCTGAAGGTCAATAAAGTGGTTATAAGGCATTTATTGATGCAGTCTCACTATTAAAAAGAAGTAGAAACAAACTCCAGCGAAGCAAATTTGATCATTAGCATCCACATAAGCTACCTTCCCTAATGTTAGAACAGAAAGTTCATATATAACATACCTTGGACACTCCAGGAAGGAAACCACGATCTGTAAGTGTGTCCATCTCACTAAAACCCTCCAGCATCTCCACTTGCTGTTGGTAGTACTCAGCAACAACATCCTCAGGACCTTGAGCTGTCAATAGAACCATGAATGTTATACTAAGAACGAAGTTATGTGAAAAAGTTTCATCAAAATAAGAAAGTCAAAAGGACTTAAAATGGAAGGGCGGGCCTGGTGCAAGTGGTAGTGTGACCGGAAGGTCCCGGGTTTGAGTTGCGGTCTCCTCGCATTGCACAGGCGAGAGTAAGGCTTGCCACTGCCACCCTTCCCCAAACCCCGCACAGAGCGGGAGCTCTCTGCACTGGGTACGCCCTTTTAAAAGGACTTAAAATGGTATGACTAGCAAAATTACCATGCACACATAGCTCTTTTGTTTTTATAAAGTCACGCTTCAAAATTCATTTGTAATTGCCTTTCCTAATATATAGCACCGGAGATAGAAAGAACTGCTGGAACTAAACAAAACTAACCCAGACAGCTAAAGCAAAAAAAAGGTACACTCATATAGCAATGGAGAACAAGACTATAAATGGAGTAACTGAGATGGGAATATGCCTGTCATTCAATTCCACTACTTATAGAAGACGACATGTTGGAAAAGCACAAAAAAAAAAACTTAGTGACACCCAGATGTCCTTTACTCTTGTATGTATGCTGATCTGTCAGTTGCCACTTAACTACACACACCACACACCAACCAAAAATAATAATAATAATTTTCCAGAACTTCTGCATGCGCAGTCCAAGAAATGAGTACCTCACGTGATGGAGACTGCCCTTCCTCAAATAGGCAGGAGTGGAATTTCCAGAACCCCAAAGCTAAAAGTATAGTAAAGAAATAATACAGTACACATTTGTGTTGGGTTTCCAAAGTGGCGTAATAGCAAATCGGTAAGAACTAGGCCGCATCTAGGCCAACACTACCCAATATCCTAATTCGATCCCCAGCTCTGCACTAAAAAAGAATCAAGTCCGTCCTAGCGTCAACTCAGCTCTTACTAATAAAAACCAAAAATTGGCAACTTTGGTATTAACAAGTCGCACAAATCAAATAGTGGCAACTGAAAGTCGCAGAAATCAAGTATTGGCAACTTTGGTATTCACCAGTCGCAGAAAGCAAACAAAATTATTACCGTACGAAACAAACCAAGTTGTCGAAACACGGGAAGGCGCGTGAAGACCAGACTGTGCTGTGCTTGCACTTTTCTCATCGACCAAACCAACGAAATATAGAATATTGCATTACCTTAAACCTTAATACACAGAAAAAAAAAACAGCCATGGATGCAAAGCAATACAGCCGAGAGAGAGGGTACCTAGAACGCCGAGGCAGTGGTGGAGCGGACCGGTCGGCGGCCTCTCCTGGTGGGCCTCCGGCGGTCGGAATCCCTCGAAGTTGAGCCGCCACGACTCCTCCGCCTCGGCGGGCGCGCCGCCACCGCGGCCAGCCTCCACGGCCGAGAGCAGGAGGAGCTCCTCCCCCTCCCCGCCGTTCGCCGCCGCCGCTGCCGCAGACATTCCGCAACCCTAGCAGCCTGTGAGCTTGGGGCGCCGCGCTTACGTGGCGCTCTCCCGCGGCACGGCGGCGCGCGAGGACCAGGAGGAGCCGCAGGAGGAGACTGACGGCCGAGTTGGTTGGTAGTTGCCAAGCAGGCGCTGAGCGGGCAAACGCACTAGCAGCCCCCGGCCCCCGCGTGCGCCGTCCTCTGCGGCTGCGATTAAAGAGGGAGGCGAGGCGGGCGAGGAAAGTGTGGCGGAGTTCGTCGCTTGCGGGGGCGCGATGGCTGCGCCGACCCTATGATGAGCCCGGAGAGGCGACTCGTCGGAAACCGGCTTCTGACTGCTCGTGGGCCTGGTGTAGTGGAACATGGATAATACAGGTTGTTTGGTTGATAGAAAAGCTGAACTTGATATCCACAGTAAAAAAAATATTTTAGGTAGATACGGGATACCGTGACCATCAGAAATCTGGTGGATGAACGTAGTAGCGCATGTTTTATGTGATAATTAGAGTAGTATAGTATTAATTAACATATTTTATTTTTAATTAGTGATTATAATGATAAGATTACTGTCGGTGTATATTTATTAGTGTATAATTTGTTGTTATTATTTTTAAATAATAGATATAATTAGTCAAGTATTTTTATCCCATCCAATCTCATCCATCCAACTAAACAGAAAAATAGTTTGTCCCATCCATTCATCCAAACAGACAATATGGATACCCATATCCGAAAATTTATAGATGGCCATATCCCACCCACACTTTGATCAAAACAAACACACCCTTAATGTAGGAGCATGGACTGGTGGGCCAGAATTTTCTATCGGTACACAGCACAGTTGGAGGGGCATGATTTGAGGGGAGTCGGATCCCGCGACACGAAACCGCGGCGCGACTGCACGAGCGGCTCATGATTTCCTCGAGGAAACAGGCCCCGCCATTATAGAAACTGAAAAAACGTCAAGCGTGTACTCGTTCTACTTAACGTTGCAATAAGAAAATTCAGTCATATGATGACAGTTTGGTCAACAAATTCATTATATAGGACTGAGCCACGTATGGAATATATTTTGCACGAAGCTAGCCGCAGGAGAACCTCACCAGTCACCAATATGTCCAGACCAAAATCTATCTGAAATTAGGGGTAAGGCAAACGTTTCCGAGCATCGATTTGCTTCAAATCAAACTGCCACTAGTCGTACGGTATCGTTTGACTCAATTTGACTGCGTGTTCAAAAAAAAAAACTGGCACGGTTCTGGTCTTGCCAATTTCAAGATGGTAGGCGTACTGTGTGGCCACAGTGACCCGCTGCGTCGAGACCCCGTAGCTTTCGTGCCTTTACCCGTTTCCCGTGCTCATCCGCCGAGCGCGCGCGGTCTCATGCTTCTCCACACAAGTCCGCCACGGAAGGAACCGTGAAGCGCCGGCTCTCCGCAACGTCGATGGCTCGATGCCATTGGATGACTGAAATCAGGGGGGTCCCAAAGCGCTGCGAGGTCATAGCCCCGGTTGCTCTAGCTCCGCGCAGCACCAGCGCCACTGCTGGTCGGCTGCGGCCTGCGGAGCGTGACGGCCCTATCGCCGAGCACGGCCGTTTGAGCAACTGTCAGGCGGGGCCACGCGGTAGAGCAGCGGCCATGGAGTGTGGATAAGGGTTTGGTTTCACCTATAAAGTTTAGTGGTCCTAAAGTTCAGTACTCTTCTAAAGTTTAGTGACCACCTGTTTGATTATCTTCACTAAAGACCACTAAAGTCGTTGTACCATGTATATTTTAGTCACTTTTAGCTATCCTTTATGACTAAAAACCACTGAACTTTAGTGGCCTCTAAACTTTAGCGGGGTATTTGATATTTTAGTGACTATAAGTGATTAAAGTTTATTCACTAAATTTTAAGAGGGGTGAACAAAACAGACACATAGGACCCATAGACGGGGACTCCGACCCGACGTTTGCACCTGCACCAGAATTTCCCAGCCCCGTCAGCATGTGGGCGGGCATACAGCGACGGTGATTGGATTTCGGAAGGATCATCGTACCTGCTGAGTGCAGGACCCAATCCGGCGATGCGAATAACGTGAATTGCGTGGATATATTCGGAGACAAACAATTTGTAGCACACAGAAGAAAATCAGGGCTACTGTTAATTGAGAGCGAGGACGAGGGAAAGACAAACGGGTTTAGGCGTTGATCCGTGATCAAGGAGAATCGTTGGTTGGTGAGGGCGACTGTCCTGTGGAAGTCAAACCTGTTCGTTTCACTAAAATTTGGCTTATGCTAATGTTTATGCTAATTTGTTACTAGAGAAAAACATTGTTTTCGCGCAAAAAAAAATACTGTTGCTGAACAAAGCGGAACAAAATTTCATAAAGTTGAGCTGATTTTCGACTGCTGTACTGAGATAAAGTAATCCAGGATGCCAGCACGCAACCCCCGTAACCTCATCTCGAGCAGCGCAACACAGCAGCATATCCAAAGGTTAGTATGTATTTCCGGCAGAAAACGGAGAGTAGCTATTTGTTTTTTGTTTTATTTTTGACGGAGAGTAGCTATTTGTTGACCAAACGAATTGCAGACGCCATCCTTATGCAGTCATTAATTCATAACGTGATCAAAGCAGGTCTTCGTAGTTCAGTCAACCACACGTCGTACCAGTGTGCGTTTGGCGCAGCTCTCTGCGGCTCCGGCTCTGCATGCACTCGTACTGTACATCCCCGTGCTTCACTGTACGCTGCGTGAAATAGGCTCCGGCTCCGCCTGCCACCAGAGAGGAGCCCAAGAAGCCAGCCAGGTATTCGGTGCTTCGGACGGCTCCGTCACAGTGCATCTACAGGGAAGGAGCCGGAGCCGCCGAGAGCTACGCCAAACACAACCAAGCGGGATACTCCTTTATTTCCCACGAAGGCAGCAGCTTCAGTCAAACCTTCGGCGATTCATGACAGCATATGACGCAACCGTGTTGGAAACTTGGCACTGCTTTTGTGATGTTGCTTTCGAACCAAGCTCGTGCAACGACAAATAGCCCGACGAATGGATTCCAGAATCACGTGGCCAAACGGTCCCAGCTGGAATTCCTGGAACTCAGTGTCCCCAGGTCAGCCTTTAGTCACCACTGTATCATGTACAGGCAACGCTTTCACGCTTGTCTGTGTTAAAGCGTAGCAGTTGTATCAGCGTAGCGTGACACACCGCTGGGAAAAAACAAGAACACGTGACACGAAAAGGGCCAGATAGGATAAGAAACTGCACGATACGTGTGGTTATAATTGTGTCGTTCACTTTTGGTGCATATGTGAAGGTTAGAAGGTACATGGAAGCTTTTCCAGTCATCAGGTTCGTGATCATAAGAGAACATAGAGAATTACCCAAACAATTGGTCCAGCAGAAAATATAAAAACAGAAGTCCAAATAAAATACCCAGGGAAGCTCATATAGAAACAAAGGAACCGAACTATCTGTTGAAAGCAGTCCAGCACATAAATCTCTTTTTTTCTGTGTGTAAAAAAAGAGCTTTAGAAAATCCATAAAGATGGCATATGACCTATTACCTTGCATGCCTATGATCATGGATTGCAGTATTTGCAGGCAGGTCAAGCTGTTTGTAGGTCAATTATGATGAGATCCGAATAACCACCATAAGCACATACCTCTGCGTCCACTGTTGGGTTTTGTGCAGGTTAAACTTTCTTAAGTTTGATTAGTTTAATATTAGCAACATTTGCATCTCCGAATAAGCTTATTATGAAATATATTCAGCGATTAATCTAATGATACTTATTATGCGCCATAAATATTAATAATCTCTTGTATATATTTGGTCAAAATTTAAAATATTTGACTTCTCAGGAAGTGAGAATGACACTCTTTGCATGATTGAGGGAGCAGCTTTTATGTCAATCATTTGTCTGCTCGTTCCAACCAAGTGGTAAACAGAGCTTGATCCTGAGACTTATTTGTATAATAAAGACCAATCTCAAGCACTACTTGCCACACAAAACAAGTTGGGCGCACTTGTTTTATTTCTGAACAAATTCACAAAATTCAAGAGGAAAAGAAAAACACGAACAAACCAAAAGTGACATAGCGAAAATATCTTTGCCAACTTGCACAAGAAATACTCAAATTCTAAATGCATGCAAAATGATTACCTGTTGACTGATCACCGTATGCCACCATTAAATATAGTGTTCCATTCCAGTCTTCCATGAAGCCATTTAATCCCATTTATCCTCAATTGACACCACCTGGTTAGAGATTTCTGCATGCTACCTGCTAGTACTGAACAGTCTGGCAAAATTAGTATGAATGGAAAAGACAGGAATTTGTATCAATTGGAAAAGGACATCCAGTTAAAATGGATCAAGTGTCAGAGAACTCTGCTTATATACAACAATTACCTTTCAAATCATTGAACAGAATGCAAGTTAGCATATTTCATTTTTCGTAGAACATCTCCACTTTTTTTTGTAGTTCTTACACATCAAAACGAAGAAATACAGCATTGACATGTTCAATCTCAGTGTAGCCTCAGAAACCACATCTTCTGATGCATCTGGTAAAGAAAGGGTGTCGTAGAGCTTCACGTGCTTTAAGGCGCTCATTAGGATCATACCGAAGGAGTCCTTGAAGAAGATCAATTAGATCTCCAGCAGAATGATCAACATGTTGCATCACAAGATTCTGCATGGATTGCAATTATTAGAACTTTTCAAAAGGCATACCAACTATAGGATGTCAGTTGGCCAAAGAGACGAGTAATTGATTAGTACATCAGAGAGGAAAGTACCTGCAGACGAGGCAATTTCCAGACTGCCTTCATGCTCTCCCGTGAGGCCGCTCCCTCTGGCCAGTCCAATCTTACTCCGCGCTTGAAGTATTTTTCAGCACGTCGACTGTAAAACAGCATTAATCAATGAATGTGAGTAATAAGTTAATATGAGCAGAAGCCAAGACAGAACTGACCAGCTCCCTCATCTTGGATATACATCAACAAAAATGTCAAAAAACTAGGTTAAGAATATAACAAAGGACTTGTACACATACTCAGCTCTGACAATCATATGCTTTGGGAGGGGCCCTAAGACCCTCTCCATCATAGCCAAATGCTCCAAATTTTCATGTGTTTGAAAGAGAGCTTCCCCCTAATATTATCATGAAAAAAAAGGCAAGAGAAACTTATCAAGACAAGCACCACAAAGTTGCAACAGATATATGGATAAGGTTAATCAAGTACTCCAATAAAAAGAGTCTTAGTAAACTAACCGAACAGAGCTCAACTAAAATGCAACCCACACTCCACAAGTCGCATGGATAGTTCCAACCAAGGCCTAAAAAAGAATTAGCAAAGATTAAAAAAAATACAAAACAAAGAAATGGGTGTCATTTAGAAAATAAAGGTAAATTGGCCACTTTGTGTGTGGGTTATTGGATGTTAATTATACCAAGGATAACTTCTGGTGCACGGTAATGTCTTGTCGACACCACATAATTGTGGTCTTGGCTCTCGAAAGTTGTACTCCCAAAATCAATCAGCTTGATAGCACTAGATTTTGGAAGGTTCTTGAAGAAAGAACCATCCTTTGGTGGTCGTATAGAAACCTTCATTGCAAATCAAAATAAAGCTTAGAGAAAGAGATGTATTTATGCAGTTGCAATTCTGCATAATCCATTATTAAATTAAGTAGTCAAATTCCTGTCCACACAAGAATCAGAGGAATTCCTGCCATTGCAGTTCTCCATAATCCCTGATTTATCACTGTCACACAGGTGGTCCCCACATGACATTGACACATCAATGGCAAATAAGGGATTGCTAGAGAACATTAATGGATAAATGTCCTAAAAAGAACCTAACCAGAAAATAGCATACAGAAGCAGGTAAACGTTTAGGAGTTCAAGTAACAACCTTATAATCAGGCACCCTGATAGACTCTGATGAAACAAGAAGAATGTTCTCTGGCTTCAGATCCGTGTGAATAAGTCGCAAGTCATGCATAACTGAAGAGGTAAAACAAATAAACATCAGATTCATTTAAAGGGGACTAGGGAAGCACATCAGAACTAGCAAATCCAGCTTAACAAGATCATGCCAAACCATAGCAGTTTAGTAATCTAATTATATTGTTCGAAAGACAAAAGACTTGATGGATGCAAATCTAAAGGTGTCATTCGAAATTCAAAAGACTTGATGGTTGCAAAGTAAACTGAGTACTCACATGCAACAGACTCTAATATTTGTCTGGCAAATTCTCGAACAAGGTCAATAGGAAATGAACGGTAGCTGTTCTTTCGCAGAAAGTCATATAGGCTTGGCCCAAGCTTCTCAAATACCTGAAGAGATCATCAAGCCAATATCATAACCTGATCATCAAAAACAAGAAAAGTATAGCCTTCTTGACGCATATGTACTTACTATACATATATGATTACGATAGTCAAACCAATTCCGTATTTGCACACAACTGCAGGCATAGAACCATCGATGCAAATCCATCAACTCAACTCACCAAAAGGGTCAATAAGTGAAACAAGGGAGGTAGATTTCTTACCGGCTGCCAGTAAAGTCATGCTTCCCAAGTCTCGTGAGCACATCAATTTCTATCATAGCAGCCTCTCGGTATTTCTGGAGGGAGCGCACAATCTTGATAGCCACTGCTTCTTGGTTTTCCAAGTCCCAGCATTCCAAAACTTGTCCAAATGTCCCTGTGACACAGATTGAAACAATAAATATAGCATGGAATGGAAGCAATGAAAGTGTCAGGACTGAGAGCATAAAAAATCATTCCATCCTCATCCTGTACAATTCAAATCGAAACTAAACATTCCAACTAAGAACAAAGATCACTGCAGAATAGAATATAGATTATATAGTAGTCCAGAAGGGGCACACTAACCTTCACCCATCTTGCTAAGTATCCTATCTGCATGACCAGGAAATCAGTGTTAGTAATAATTATTACAAAACCAACTAGGCATACCCAACAGAACAAAAATTATGAAGTATCAGTTAGGACAGCCGCGAGGATCAAGCAGCAGTCAACACAATCATCGGCAAAATCTGCATTCAATGAATGATGGATGTGGAACACGAAACGGCATTGAACGAAAAAAAAGGGAAGACCCAATGCCGGAGGCTTGGGGAAGGGAAAAACCGAGGCAAGCCTTCCCCCCGCAAAATCTACGGAGAGGCTGCTTCGAACGCAGGACCTGGTGACTCAGTGAGACAGCTCTCACCACTGCATTGCATTCAACCAGTGATTAATTTATGAAGCATGAAGCTATTTTGTGGAGCCACAATACATAGATGAAAACTCCATGACTACAGCTTTTAGTAACATATAACCTTCGAAAGAAAATACATCTAAACAAACTATTCAGAGATGCGAACCAAAAACAAGCAACCCAATGCAAGGAGAGTAAATGAACATCAATGAGTTGCAGAAATATACATCTTGGTGTGAGATTCTCTCCAACCACAAAAACATAGTGCCCATCCTTGTCATCTGGTCTCCAAGGAGGCGAAAGATTCCGTGGAGGCCCGGTGTAATAAATCGGTGGCGGCGGAAGAAATGCAGTCATGAAATTACCATTAATTAGTTCCTGCCCACAATATAGCATCGGAATTGCCTACAAAAATACCAAGCCATGTAAACTTCTTATTGACAACAAATATGGATAGAAAGTACCAATTCAACAGAAAAAAACTGAAGATTGATATTGTATTTCTTGTACTGAATGTTTAGCATCCAGTTACATGACTTGATATTATGTGAACTGGCAATCGACATTGTCTAGTAGCCACTGACTGAAGTACATAGCTCTTGCATATTCCCACAAAAGCCAACGTTAATTATTGGTGCAATAATATTGAGCTCCCCAAATTTAATAACTGTTTTATTTCTATTAGTCCTTATAATTGAGAAATTCATCCTGTAACATTTACATATTCTAGCTGAAAAAAACGGTTATCATCTCCAAAATTATATTAGTAAGCTCCAAAAGCCAGAACATGGTAACACATAGACATAGGTCAGAAAAGAGAAAAATTCACCGCCGGTCCCTGAACTTGGCCGGCGGTGTCATCGAGGTCCCTGAACTTCTAAAGTGATATCTGTGGGTCCTTAAACTTGGCAGACGGTGTCATCCAGGTCCCTAAACTTTTAAGGTAATCACCGCAGGTCCCTAAACTTGGTTGGCGGTGTCATCTCGATCCCTTAACTTTCAAGGTGATCACCGCATGTTCCTAAACTTGGCAAGTGGTGTCATCCCTGTTAAAATGTAATAATATTAAAAGTTACCTATAGTATTAAAAGTTTTTTCTCTATTAAAAGTTACTTCTAATTTTAGTATTATTTTAAAAGCTTTAGTAGTAGTATTATAGAAGTAACTTTTTCCTATTATTAATACTAAAATATTATTATTAAAACTATTAATACTATAATACTATTATTAATAATGATTTTAGTATTACTTCTATAATACTACTATTAAAATACTAAAATTAGAAGTAACTTTTAATACTATAGGATTTTTAATATTATTTTAATACTATTAATGATAAATAAATATTAAATTAATTTTAGTATTTTTCTATTTTAGTTTAAACCTAATATATTTGTTGTTGTAAATTATTTTAATACTTTAATTTATTTTTTGCTGATGTAAATTATTTTATATAATTTATATTTTCATGATAAAAATTATTTAATGATTGATTAATTGACCCATGTTAGATCCACGTCTAATGTACAGTCAGCGTGCCACGCCAGCTTATAGAGTAGGTTAGGCCACATTTGGACAGGGATGATATCGCTTGCCAAGTTTAGGGACCTGTGGTGATCACCTTGAAAGTTCATGGACCAGGATGACACGCACGGGCCAAGTTTAGGGACCTGCGGTGATCACCTTAAAAGTTCAAAGTTCAGGACCTGAATGACACCGTCTGCCAAGTTTAGGGACGCACACATATCACTTTACAAGTTCATGGAGCTGGATGACAACGACCGGCCAAGTTCAGGGACCGGTGGAAAATTTTGCTCGTCAGAAAATTTCCCCGTCTTTCTCAAAAATAGCTTGCTCCGACCATATACCACTAATTGGCCAAACCTCCATGATGATCCGCAACAACAAAGCTACAGATCCCCAATTCCCCGAGCTCCATCCCCTGATCGAACCAACCGATTCCAAATCTAGCCGGAAACCGCGCCCAGATCTAGCCAAAACTACCATCGCAACCCCACGACTGGCAACCAATCGAGGCGGCAAGCGGCGCGAGAACCATACCTTGGGGGGCTGGAACAGCGTGGGCGCGACATCCCAGGCGAGCCGGGGCCGCTTGCGCGGCCGCTTGTCGGCCCCCTGGTGCGGATACTCGGCGAGCCACTGCGCCTCCATTGCCGGCTTCGGAACCCTGACTGGTCACTCCATCGGCGGGGCCAGTCCGGCGGCGAATTTCGGGGTGGAACTGATGAGCGATTCGGCAAGAGCCGTCGAATCGGAGCTCTATTTGGGGAGGAATTTGGAAAAGGAAACGAAAAGGTTGTAGCAGGAAGGGGGGGAGGGGGAAGCTCGAGGTGGTGGTGGTGGTGGTGGTGGTCTGGTTGTGCCCGCGTTCCGTCCGAGGAACCCTGGTTTGGTCTCGGTCCCGCGGGAGAGGCCACGCCAACTAACTATGGTTAGTTAGCTCTGTTATTACATATCACCCCCTCGGTTTGTGGTTTATATGGTTTGTTTATCTGATGCAACGCGTTTTCCGTGCGGACCGGACCGACGCAGAACTTTTGTGTATGTGTCGGGGCTTTTATGCAAAAAAGAGTTCATCCGAATTCCCGTCAAATTTCAGACTCCACGGTTGGTGGGAAACGGTTTTAACTTCCAGCCGTACCTCTGCAACTGCTTCGTTGGGCATGTTTGCGTTTTTCCTCTTCTATAATATCCCCTCTGCTCTGGCCTTCTTCCAATTTTTAGCGTTCCTCACAGATAGATATCTTCGAGCAATGCGCTGGATAACCCTACTCGCATCTATCATCACAGCCTCATGGCGTCATGGGCAGACGGATATTTTAAGCACATTTTCGTCAGGCTTTTTTTCTGGGCACTGCCTGCCTTGATGGGAAATTGAAAAGCCACCGTATTTCGAATATGATCAGCGTTTTCTATGCCTTTCGACGGTTTTCGCCACTTGGGTGCAGATAGGAGATATCAGAGCAAGGATCTTGTTCCGCTGGAGCAGAAGCCACCTTCGTCGCTGCAGGTTCGCAAGTTCCGCGGTGGTGGCCTAGTGGTATTTGGCGGGCGACTTGGCCAACGCCACTTTTGGTCGTCCATCGTTTGGCGGTGGTCGTCGAGAAAGAATAAGCCAGGCCATGATCTTCAGATCTTCACCGACTTCGACCTACCTCTTTCTCCCAAATGGAGCACTGATCCTGCGCGCCATGCCGATCCAAAAAGGAGTCTGTGTTGGCGGCAGGCATCGGATCGGATCGGATCGGATCGGATCAATACAATCGGTGCTGCCCCACCCTCTGAAAAGAGAACGGCTGAATGGCACGTATATGCAGCGGGCACTTGGAAAAATTAGGACCGGTGTTTGCTGCATCTGCATGTGTCTAGACCGGCAGTAGCCCGTAGAGTTTGGTATTCCCTGAGCAGTGTCTATACCTCCGCAAATGATGCGAAGAGTTCGGCCAAATTCAGGCCGCAGTTTTGGCAGTTTGGCATCTGGTATTCTCAGGTTGAGGTGTGAGTGCACTGTACACAGGCACACAGCGCATCGATGACTGCCTGATGCGTCCCGGACCAATGTTCTCTCCTTTCCTGAAAGGTCGCCTAATTAGGCCAGCCTGAGCCTGAGAACCTGCTTTCTCGCGATAAGCATGAAATAGAATTTTTCTGCTCAAGCCAAAAAGACCGAATAGAATCTGAATTGACAATGACGTCTTGTAACGGCAATGCTGCAACGGAAGGAACTAAAAGACACACCGAACTTTGCCACCATGGCGAATTGACAATGACGCCTCATGCCCGTAACGGCAACGCTTCAACGGAAGGAACTAAGGATACATTAAGAGCTAGTACATTGATATTGTCTCGTTAACGGTCTCATGTAATATCACGTAATTTTAATAAAAAAATTTAATAAACAACTTGTACAGTGGTTGTCTATTAAGTTTTTTTAGTAACTCACAATTCCTTAATAATTTATATATATAACAAAAGTAAAATATGAGTTGTATGACAATAACAACTCATACAATCATATAATGGTTGTCTCATAGTCCTAAATTTTAACTTAAAAAACGGATGTTTCGCGAAACAACGACCTCTTTCTCTCTTTCCTTCACATCATAAAAATCCTAGGTGAGACGGATTATAAAACCACTCACATGTAGCAATGTAACAAAGTAACAAAAGGAAGGAGGCAAGCAAGCCTACCAGCTTCTCCTGTGAGTCTAGCTTGACGCCGAGGAGCTGGGGACGAGCGTCTCTAGACTCACGAGTCGACCCTAGGGTTGATTGGGGTTGGACGAGTCGTGAACCTATCGCCCCTGTTTGTTTTAAATCATGTTTTCAAGCGGGTCAAACCGCCTCCCTTTAGGCCTAAGTATAGTCGTTGAATCACAGACGATGCTCTGCTGGTCACTCGCGCATTTGACATATTTTGGTGCCTCATTGGGACCGTGTGATTGTGTGAATTGTGGAAAAAATTTTGGGTAGGGAGGATCCCCATGGGGCAACCACGGGCACTCCAGGGGCGAAGCCAGGATTAATTGTCAGGGGTCAGGACAAACTCACAGTACTAATTTAAACTCACAGTACTAACTTATAGGTTATGATAATACAATACCATACATTGCATCAACAAAAGTAAAATAGCATTATAGCTACCGGCAAATTATCTCTAAACCTACAGATTTGTTCCAGCCGTCCCAACCATATATTACAAATATATCATTCCCACCTTGGCCCTTGTTGCAATCCCTAAACAAGTATCAATATAAACAAAAACATTTGTCCACCTTCTCATTATATGAAAGGATCTAAACAATGCCTAGAGGGAGGGTGAATAGGCGTATCTAAAAATTTCTACACAAAACTCAAAGTAACTTGTCGGTCACTGCCGGAACTTAAGACAGTTTGAGCCGGAACTTCCGGCGGCCAAAAGTACCGACGCAAACAGCCGGTAGTTCCGACTCCTACGTGAACTACTCAATCCAACCTAAAATGAACTTTGTGGATCCAATAACTTACAACCCCACTTCCTAGTGGTAAGATGAAGCGTTGGGGTTCCTCTTTTGATGCCAAAAAGTCTTCACTCCATAGATCGAGTCCAAACCCTAAGAGATGCTTTGGGGAGAAGAGAAAACAACCAAGAACAAAGGTGATAGTACAAATCACAACAACAAGCATGCGGGACACAAGGATTTATCCCGAGGTTTGGCAACCCCACAAAGGAGCTCATGCGTCCTCTTTGTTGAGGTGACCACAAAGGTCGGAGTTTCTTCCACCTCCTTGCCTCTCTCAAGGCAACCACAAAGGTCATTTAAACTTTTCAATAAGAAATCAAGGGTAATACAAACTTTTCAAGACTCTTCCACAAGATGAAAGCTCTTGGGCGACGCCTAGCTGGCTAGGAGCAAAGCTCAAGAGTAATAGATGTGAATCCAACCGGCTTGACGAAGAAATCAAGTGATCAAGCTTGCCAAAGTGATTTTTGTCACTCAATCCACTCTCCTTTCACTCAAACCCTAGGAGAATTGAAGTTGGGATCAAAGGAGAGAGGAGGGGGAGCCTTGAATGCTTAGGAGCTCTTTTGGACAGAGTTAGGTCACAATGAATGAGTTGGTAATGGTTAGAAGAGAGGAGAGAGCTATTTATACTCATAGGCAAAATCTAACCGTTCAGATCTGCGTCAGAAGTTCCGACACAGATCGCCGGAACTTTCGGCACCTAAAACACTGTTCACTGTGCGGTCAACTGGGCTAGCTCGGCCGGCGCCGGAACTCCCGGCAGCTGCCGGGACTTCCGGCTTCCGTCGGGTCTTCCGACGGCCAGCCAAGCCTGGTGACTTAGTCCTGTTCGCCGGGACTTCCGACTGCCGGAACTCCCGGCAAACGTCGGAACTTCCGACGACCAAAGTCTCAAAAACTATATCTTAGTGTTCGTGAGGTGCTTGAGTGTCTCACTTTTGATTTTATTTTTATGCTTGAGCACTCTATCTTCCTCAGACCACCTAAACTTGCATCCCTCTTTATAGTACGGCAAATCTAAACTCAAAGTAAGAGATAAAAGCTTCGGAGAACGATTTGAGTTGATCCGCCTTTTAAACTTCAAGAATTGAGGGACACTATTTTATCTAAATCAACTCTTTTAAATCTTTCATGGGACTAAAGCTGTAATATATCTCATTAAGATCTCGTTAGTCTCTAATTTGAATGTCATCAATACACCAAAACCCATATAGGAGGCAAATGCACTTTCACTTTACTCTAGCCAATCATATATACTGAACCACTCATGTTGACACCGGCGTGAAAAACTCGCTACCATAGTCTGTGAAAATTGAAAATTAGATGGTGGCTTACAAGGACCTCTAGTTATTGTAATGTCACTAACATGATTCTTATTATCATCGTTTAGGGGTAATTTCTTTTTCAAGAATCCTTCCAGCGTGCTTTATTGATTGACTACAAAATTAGTCACATAGTTAAACACTAAAGTAGATAAATGGTTAAATACTGATGTGAAAGTACTAAAACGCAAGCCATACTAGAGTCTGAACTCTGAAGTGGCATCTTGCTGGAATTAGAATCATGGAACAAAAGAGCACGATCTTTCCAGGTGCACAAACAGCAAAAATATCCTATTGGCTTTCTGAGTTCAGATTACTTGTCGGGAAAAAAATAAAACCCTAAGACCTCACAATTTTGTGTAGAATGCAAGAGGTTGTAAATCTGTAATAAATCAAGAAAATTGTTAATTACCTGCAGCGCCGTGGAGTCACCATCAGATGTGCTCGAGATTGAGAACAAGGAAGGATGAGGGAGAAGCGCTGCTGGCCAGGTCGCAGCCGTAGGTGCGATTGCGACGCAACTCGCAAGAGAACAGGGGAAGCAAGAGTTTGCAGCCGGAGCAACCTTTGGTCTTATGTCTCTCATCCTATCTAAGCTAGCCAATCAGGCCCATCGTGGTGGGCTCAGCTGCTCACAGGCTTTCTACATGTCCTGCAAGTGAGCAAGTTGGGCGATGGGCTGCTAGGCTGGTTGGCTGCCGTCAAGAGCGATTGACTGGGCTGCCGGGGTCAGAAAATCTTTTTACCGGTGTCCCTGCTGATCAAAATCGCTGGGTGTCACGGGTTTGGAACCACGGCGAGCATAGTTCGAGTCGATGTCAGT